AAAGCTCAGGTTAGTTATAACAACAGTGCTTATGGATTGTTTCAAGATTCCTTGCTCAAATTAACAGTGATGTAAGAAAATAAGTAAGTATAATAAAAAAATAAAGATTCTTTGCACAATCTCACTCACTTATTTACTTACTTTTCATTCATCGATCTGTTTATTTATTAAACAACAATGAAGCCCTTGCTAAATTACTTGACAAACAAAGATCTAGGAAAAAATAAATTATGACACAATGTAGGAAATGCTACAATAGAAAAATGAACAATATTCTATGGACATCTGGAAGGATAGGAATAGCTTCCTCTGCTTTTGTAATGTCCCTGACAAGCTACTTGCTTGCAGCCACAGAAATTGATAAAGATAATAAAAGCCCTCACTGGATTTTCCATGAACCCTTAGGCCAGACAGAAATGAGTTAAAATCTCTCCTCTTTACCTACTAGCTATGTGATCCCAGATGCCCTGTTTGAAATAAAATGTGCCAAAAATGATACCTACATCATCTGTTGATGGAGAATAACACAGTGTATGTGACAATACTGTCTCAAGGGAGCCATCCACTAAGCTCTTATAAGTAGAGTGCCTTATTACAAGTAGAAGAATTAAATTAATGAGGCTTTTCATAGATTCAACTTCATCAATTCCAAATTTCTCCATCATAGGATGTTTTATGGTATGTAATTTTCCCTTTTTTCCTATTTGGTATTCAGGTCAAAACAAAAAAGAATACTTTTAGTGTTATTTTTTTTTAACTTTGGCCTTAAAACTTAAAGTACTTCATTTTTATAGTTTTAACCACAATCCCTTGCCCTCAAATTTAAAATACCACATGAGTTTGACACAAATCAACCTAATGTATCTGACTTTGCCAGATTCATATATAAGCATGGATATTTACCAGTTCTCTTTTTTGGCTACATTTAAAAATCAGACATCAGTTGCTAATTTGGGGAACACTATAACAAACATGTGGGTTAAATCCTGGGGGGGTGTGTGTGTGTGTATGACTGTGAAAGGTGACATAATTCTGCTTTTTCAGTATTTCTTTTTACTTTTTCTTTTTTTTTTAAGATTTATTTATTTATGCATACAAGAGCTGGGGTGCAGGCCAGAGGTGCAGGGGGTGAGAGGATTCACCAGAGACAGAGAGGAGAGCAGAACAGGCAGACTGACTAAAATACACTGCTGAGAGGAGCAGTGGGTGTGGCAGGTGAGGTCAGGTGCGCCATGTGGGGAGCTCCTTGGCTGGCTGGGTATCAAACTCATCCTGCAGAGGCTATGGATAGCTTCATAGTGCTGTGCTTAGCCCTTTGCACCACCAGGGAGGCCCCAGTATTGATTTTTTCTATCTGAAGTGCCTTTCACAACTTAGTAAGTTATAACCATCAATAGAATTATAATTTGTATAGCTATGTATAAATATGAAAACTTTATTTATAAAATTTGTACAATATTTAACCAAAATCAATAATCTGTAGTTTTTTTAGGTAGATCGTATCTTGATTCCTGACCTTTAGTAGATTAAAGCAACTTGAATTTTTGTTTCTAATAACTTCTGATAGGAAATAAAGTTCGTGGAGAATGTTTGGGTCAATGCATCTACTTTGTAGATATTAATCTAGAATAAAATCTAGGTTATTAAGCCAAGCATATCATTCTGAAGCAGTGCTGTCCAACAAAAATATATGAGCCACATAAGTCATTTTTTAAAAGTTGAAATTAATTTAAAAAATCCATTTAACCCAATGTATCCAAGATGTTTTAACATGTCATCAATATAAAATATAAAATTAATACTTCTTTCATTTCCTAATTTAAATTTCAGTCAATTATGTTCAGCAACTGTTTGGGGAATGGATAAATTATTTCATGATTCATATCATGATTCATAATCAGTTGTACAATATGAGCATAGAGGAGTATTTTTGTTTAAACTTTTAAAAATACATCAGTAATTTAAACTTTTTGCATAAACCCAAATATCCATTATAAATATGCAAAGGTGGACAAAGTAAAAATTATTCCCACACAACAGACTAAAATTACTAATGTGCCCAGTATCTCTTTCCCACATTCCTAGCACACAGGTGCTCAGTGAGGGTATTTGTTGCATGAGATAATTCCCCAAATAACCATTACACAAAGGAAATTATTTTATGGATCATTAAAGAGTAAAGGGTATAACAGTACATCTGTAGAGCAAGGAAGTATGACTGACTGGAAGAAAAGAGAAAGTTTTAAAGAGAGGAAAGCAGATTATCTCAACTTTTGACCAAAAAAAGTCTAATTTGACAAATATTTACTCAGTGATTTTTTTATGCTGGCAAATACTATGACCTGAGGGTTCAAAGACACAGCAAAGCAGTTTCTGCCTTCAAAAGCTTATAGAAAATGGAAAAATCTAGATTTGTGAGAAATGTTTAAGAGTAGATACAAAGTAGTAGAAAAATCACTTGAATGGAAGGACTAAAGTCATTAAGGTGTGCAGCCAGCAGCATATTCAAAGAACAGGAAATAGTTTCAGCAGAAACAAAACAACTTGTGGAGAGAGAGCAACAGGAGATAGAAAATAGGAAGATAATTTGATCCAACACAAGTTGTTAGTGAAGGATTTTAAGTAGGAATATATGATATATTTATATGTCTTTACTACAGGGGAAAATAAAGTTTGGTAATAGAAGGAGCAGAAGATTAGATAGGAGCTTATACTTGTAATGAAATCAACAGTAAGAAGAGTGCATTGTAGGAAGAGGAAGGGAAGGGACAGATTCATCTTAGGAGTAGAAGGAATATGGTGTGACCAGTGCTTAGGTGAAGGATATAGGAGGAGTCAGTGATGATTCAGGTTTGGAACCTGAATGTTAAGGCAGATAGTAACATCAACAAACAAATATAGGGATAACATGTTGGAGAACGATATAATGAGTTCCATTTTAGATGCATTGAATTATGGAGACCCTTACAACATCCAGGAGTATATGTGTAATGGGCCATTAAAAATTGAAAACTGAAGCTTGAGAGATAATTTATCTAAAGATACAAGTATACAAATCATTGAGAGCAGTCTTCCCTGTTCAACTAAAGGCATGAAAAATACACATAAGTGATAGAGGATATGAGATAAGTTCCACAAATATAGAAGAGTTTTATAACTCAGTAACTTTCTGGGAATCTATAGCTTATATCATCTCAAATTTGAAAATCAAGTTACTATAGTTTTCAGTACCTATCACTAAGAAAGTGACTTAATATTTAAAGGCTCTCTCAATTTATAATAGGGAATTTACAATAGTTTCTCTTCTCTTCTAGCCCATTTAATGACTAGTACTCAAAGGCTATACATTTTGAGAGGGATCCAATACAAGATTCTCTAATTTGTCCAGACTGCAATGTAAACAGTTCTAATTTTTGTTTCTTGGGACCTTGATTGAATCTGGGGTGCTCAGGATATGTGTCTGAGAATCTGAGGCTGGAGCCTGGAGAAAGCCCCATAGGAGAACCAAATAGATTTTCAGAGTTCAAAGATAAAACCCTGTCCTTTTCATCAAGTTACTATTTTCTTTTTGAGAAAGGGGTCTTAATTCTTAAATTCTGCAGATATTATTCTGTTTCTGATGAAACTATTTCCTATTCTTTGAATATGCTGCTGGCTGCACACCTTAATGACTTTAGTCCTTTACTTCAAGGTTGCCCATGACTCCAAGCTGTCCTGCTTTTAATTTGTTTGTTTTCTCTCCTTATAAACTAGAATCTTATTCATTGCTCAAAGCATATGGGTTGAAAAACCATTCCCTTGGCCCTATAGTTATTAACATTCATGATAGGAAAATAATCAGACATGATATAATATAGGTCATATATGCTTAGAATAATTTTGTATTTATATTTATAATAGAGGAAAATTTGAAAGAACCTTAATGTTCATCAGTAGAGACATGGTGACAAAATTATGGGATGTAGACCTAATAGAATATTATGTAGTCATTAAAACCTGTGATCTTAAAATATGTTGATGACATGGAAATAGAAGCAGGGTAAAAGGGGTCAATTATATGGTGAAGGATGGAATTAGACCGTTAGTAGTATACGTAATGTAGTATATACAGATGTTGATTTATAAAGTTGTATAGGGCTTCCCTGGTGGTGCAGGCAGTTGAACACAGCATTGTGAAGCTTTCTGCAGCCTCTGCAGTGTGGATTCGATTCTGGCCAACCAGGGAGATACCCACATAGTGCAGCAGACCTCTCCTGTCTTGCCCGCTGCTCCCCTCAGCAATGTATTTCAGTCAGTCTGCCTGTTCTGTTCCTTGCTCTGTCTCCAGTCAATCCTCTCACCCTCCCGCATATCTGGCCTATACCCTGGTTCTTGTATGCATAAATAAATAAATCTTTAAAATAAAAATAAAGTTGTATACCTGAGACCTATGTAATGTTATAAACTAATGTTACTCCCATAGAAACTTAAAAATTATATTCCTAAAATAAAATATTATGTGTAAAACTGTAGATATAATATGCTCACAATTGTAGCTATAAATTTTTATATTTTTGAAGGAAATAAATGAGACCAGAATTCCTCTTAGGGTGAGGACAATTTTTGTTTCAGAAAATATGTTGACTTTATTCAAGTAGAAAAGACAACGGAGATTGAGTTCATAGGAAAAATAAAGCAAGTATAGAAAATATGAAGGGGTTGACAAGTGCGGTGTACTTTATAAAATGTAGTCATAGAAGGCTTTTCTGGTGGGTGACATTTGAGCAGAAATGTGGGATCTTGGAGCTATGCCAGGGTGCTTGCATGCTGGTGGCAAAATAAGCCTGATGTGAAAAATTGCCATGTGCAAATTGCCACATGCTGGTGGCAAATTGACAGCAAATAATATTGAAGAGAACTTATTTGGTTCTAAAGCTTCTAAGGCAACTTGCTCTCACTCAAATAGCTCTTTCTTTTCTGCTGATGGAACAGTTTCATTTTTGCACTCTGCTCCTTAACAGGGTGGTGGTGATTGTCCAGAAATGAGTATTGGAGCCATAAAAATTGCCTTGGAAATTTCTCTTCCTGGTTCTTTCATCTATGTCTTCACGGATGCTCGGTCCAAGGATTATCGGCTCACTCATGAGGTGCTGCAGCTTATCCAACAGAAACAGTCACAAGTAAGTAGCATGAACACTCATACATTCCCATCTGTCAGGAATATAGAATGGGAGGCTTCCTTTCCTGTTATGTGTCAAATATCAATGTTTTCATTTACTGATGCATATATGTAGGTGTCATATAGGTGTTATTGGCACCTAGCATATGAATGCCATGTTTTTCAATAGAGAAGTGTTTAATTAAGGTGCTTATCCTTATAATTGACAAAAAAAGAGCCTTAAAAATGGCCTAAATTTCAAATGACCCCTGATAGGTGGAATCTTAATCAGAGTTACTCATTGTATCAATTAGCAACATGTTTTCTCACAGCCTTAAAACAGTAAACAGTTATTTCTCACATGTTTGCAGAACACTGTTGATCTAGATCTGCCTTGTTCATCTGTGTGTAGACAGAATAGTCTGGGTTTAATTCATCTGTGCTGGTCTCTGGACTGTTGTATCTTTGCCTCTTGGGTTTTCTCAGCCTCTTTATGAAACCAGTAGGCTAGTTTAGAAATGTACTTCTCACACCCATGGCAGAAACACTCGAGATCAACTAGAAATACACAGAGGATCTCTTCAGTCTAGCCTCATATTTGTAGAAGGTGCCTTTTTCATTGTGCTACTTGCCCAAGCACATCACATAATCAAAGTTGACAAATTTAGGCTCCACGTCTATAGTGAAAGGAACTTCAAACTTTTGATAAACTGCATGGATACAAGGAGGAATACAGAGAGGGTAGTGTGTTAACTTGTCTAGTTCTATGTTGACACATAATATGTAATGAATAAATAAATATTGAATTCTGAAAAATCTTTTAATTGTCTTCTTTTTTAAAAAATGATAGGTAGTATTTGTGCTCACTGGAGATTGTGATGACAGGGGTCATATTGGATATAAAGTGTATGAAGAAATTGCTTCTACAAGTTCTGGTCAAGTGTTTCATCTGGACAAAAAACAAGTGAATGAGGTTAGTTTAATAAAGTTGTTCTATTTTATTACTAGTTTTTCATACCAAAATCAGTCAGGCCAATCTAATTCTGATAGATTTTGAGAAAAATAATTTGGACAAACAGATTTTTTTTTCTTGGCTGCAGGTTAATAAAATCATCAAACCAATATGGAGAAGCATGAATTTATCTAATACTAACTTCTAGACTGCATTATCCTGTATTGAGAAAATATTTGATTTAAACGTATTTAACATTTATTTAGCAGGAATTGAAAATGTTTTTAGTTCTTGTTCTTTAATAAGGTCATTTGTGTTTCTGATACATGACTTGGATAATGTGTTAAATGAGGTTTGACTGCTTATTGAATTAGAATGTGAGAAACCTAGAACAAAAAATGTGAATGTGAGAAAGTTATGAACAAAATTCTGAAATTTGATCTTTCAGAGTAAAAGCCAAAAACTATAATAACTATCTAATATCTTTTATGATAATACCTATACTTAGTAAGAAAATCTTGTTATCTTGTTATTTTCTTAAAATATTTGAGGTTTGGTTGGTTCTTAAAAGTATTGGAGATATGTCTATTTGTCATGATTCTTTCTCTTTTTGTTATATTGTCTTGACATCACTCGTGATAAAAAATGTATTTATAATTTATTTATTTATTTGGCACCCGCTTATGCTTCTAGGAATATACCAAAAAAAATTATGTAGGCATAATTAACATTTGATTGATATGGTCACTATATCTAAACAAGCTCTATTAATTTTACTATATGCTCTTTTATGACTTGAATGAAATGATTCAGTAGTCCTTTTACGTTTAAAGAATTATTATATCATAGTGGAACTAATAAGACCATTGCAAATTTTTAGGCTAAACAGTCTAGCAAAAACATTTTTATCAACCTACTGAGATGCAAACCTAAAAGGTGACTTTAGTCTATAACTTTTTTTTTTTAAGAAACTCACTTATAAAAGGTGCTAACTTAAGTCCTGTTGTGCCCACAGTAACCACACATAAAGGTCTGGACAAGAGAGCTTAGAAGTGGCTAGAGAGACAGATTTTTCTTTTTCCTATGTGTAAGAAAGATACTGGAACTGTTTAAACCAACATGTACCTTAAAGTCACAAAGGTTGAAGATTTTGTTTACCAAAAAGCAGTGACAGTATTAAAATGGAATTCGCAAAGTTTTTACTATTTCGCCATGTACTTTCCTTTTCTTGTAACTTCAAATTGTCTAATTATAGAAACACTATAAATTTAGAGAAAACAGATGCTATCATGATATTTACACATTTAATAGACAAGAGCTTCAGGGAATTCATACTTATATTGAATCATTTTACTTGAGAGAAATTTTTCATCTAAGATTTCTAAAGGAAATTGTTGAATAGTATGCTTAACCCTCTTAACCTATTTCATCAATTTCCAAGCCTAGTGGGGCATATTTTATGTCAATTTGATCTAAATTGAAGATTTTTCTTTCTTCATATTTTCTAACAAAATTGTGATTAAATAGACGAGCTGGGCATCTTTCATCTTTATTTTGCATAAAAGGAAAATCAAAGTGAAGAAATTATCTGGTTGAGTGAGAGTCTGTAACTTACTGTATGGTATGCCATACACAAGTTAAGACACGTCTCAAGGATAAATTTTAACAATTCGCCTTTGAAGATTAAATAAGTACTAAGCCACTGCAATTTGCTTCTTCATTTTTTTTGCAAGCTAGATAATTGTCAATTAATGCTTCCTTTTGGTAGAAGAAAAAGTCCAAATATAAAATCTCAAAGATTCACTGATGCTATATCCTTGTGTCAAAGAAGCTAGCACAGAAGATCCACTGGATATTAATTGGATATTTCAGTTGTTCTGAGATTCCTTATCCCTTCTCCCAACTCATGTCTTCAAACTCTCTCTCAGTCCCCCTCTCCCTAAAAACCTACCTGGATATCCCAGCCTGGTGGATTGGTCTCATTCCTCACTACTAAATAATGCTGGTTGATAATATTGGAAGGAAGTTTCATCAATAAAGGAAAAATTAGCAGGTTTTGAAGGAAGTAAACGATACCTGAGAGACCCACAATGTCTCGTCTTTGAATGGACAGGGCTTTGATGTGGATGCTTTGATTCCAGGGTTCCTATGAGGTATTTCATGCTTTCTTTTGAGTGATTCCCTGTGCTGCTGTCTGGTACAGGCGTACTCTGTTTCACCCTAAGTCTCCGTTAGATATGAATGGCTTCCACAACTCATTCCTTTCTTCCGTAATAGTTCTGTGGTTAAGAAAATAATCAGGGGCCTCCCTGGTGGTGCAAAGGTTTAAGCATCAGCACTGTGAAGCTATCGGCAACTACTGCAGCATGAGTTTCATCCCCAGACAACAGTGTATTTCCGTCAATCAACTTGTTCTGCTCCCCACTCTGTCTCTGGTGAATCCTTTCATCCCCTGCACCTCTGGCCTGTACCCCAGTTCTTGAATGCATTAATAAATAAATCTTTAAAAAAAAAATCAGGTGATTAAGACCTGAGTTGAATGACTCTCTGTCTTAAGATAGTTGAACAATTGGATGTAAATTTTTATTACTTCTCCAAGACTTTATTCACATGAGAATAGGTATATTAATTAAATAAAGTAAGGAATATACATAGTAAGCTGAATAGAATCCCGGAAGAATGGAAATCACCCAGACTGCAGGTTCCTAGGATAGGAATTGCTCATTTGCCAAAGAAGGTATCCACAGGTTTGCTTTCATTTAGGTACTTGGTGCACTGTTACCCTACAGAGGGCTCAGAAGAAGGGTATTTTGGTGAGCCCCACTTTTACAAATAAATGATCAAGGAAAAGTGAACTCATTACTTCTAAAGATTATTTTAAGATTCTTAAACTTTTGTCATTTCCCTATACTTGTCAGTTTGTTAGAAGACAGAATGAGGGGCACCCTGGCAGCCCCAAACCTTGTATGCTGTAAGTAGTTTCTGCCATCTGCCTCATAAAGACAAGACATACTGTTAGTGTGTAAGAACTTCAATAGAAAAAACTTGAATAGAATTTGTGTTCAATAAAGAGAAGAATGGGTAACAGTTTCCAGTAAAATACCCAAAATTACCTATCCTTGTGGATAAATGCCAGCCAAACAGGTTTGGCTCAAAGCAGGGCCATTGAGGCCAAAAAGCTTGCCACAAGTCTAAGGCACCTTCTGCCGGGAACTATAGGAAAGGGGCAGAAGAAACCAGGAAAGTGTGGAAGGAAAGGAGCAAATCAAAGTACAGTTCAAGATAAAGGCTGCCATTATCAGTCTTCCCATGTATCTCTCTTGTCTCTCCCATGTGTCTTCTTTCATGTCCCCCAAGTTTCTTGTGCAAGCCCCAGGCTGAGAAGCAAGCAAGGCTGTTCTTCATGTGTCTCACTGTTCTATGTGCCCCCTCCAGTTCTAAGACTTCTCTCCCAAGTGGTTTTTAGCTTATCCTCAGCTCCACCCTTCACTAGGTAGAGCAGAGAACATAAGACCTCCCCTTTTTACATTATACTGTTACAACTTTTCTTATTTACACATTTGGTAAAACTTTTAAAAGGTAAAAGATTTAACTGCTTATTTTAGGAACAATTATCACAGCAATAATAATTATGATTATATGGATAACTATCATGGAGTGTTTACTATATTCCAGACTCCACGCTGACTGTGTACCTTCAACTTCTTATGGGTCTATGGGCTACAGATCATTCTCCAAACTATAGATTATTGTCATGGTGTCATTACTAAGGCTAAAAAGTAAGTCCTCACTCCTTGCCCAGCAGGTAAGTTTGGAAAACTTGAATGGGTAAGAGGAATTGGGACAGCCATGGGAGCTGGGCCATTAAGCAGATGATCCAGATGGTGAGTCAGGACCCACCCAAGGCTAGATATTTAGCCCATTACTGACACCTGGAGTATAAATAGAGCTTCGGGACCTTCTGTCAGCGCAGAGGACCTCTCCTGTCTTGCCTGCTGCTCCTCTAAGCAGTGTATTTCAATGAACCCCCCCTTTTGTTTTCTGTCTCTGGTGAATTCCTTCACCCCTGCGCCTCCAGCGTATACCCAGATTCTTCAGCTCAATATTCATGTTATTTTGTGTTTCTTCTATACAAATGGAAACAGTATACATAGCTTCATTTAACGATGACGATGATGATGATGATAAAGATGATGACATAACATAATAACATAATAAGCACTCTATATGTTGTTGGGGCACAAAGGAAATCATCCTCTGCCCCTCTGAATTCTTCTAGGCTGGCAAATAATCAAGTAAGCATCAGACAGGTTGATAAGAGAAAACATTAAAAAGTTGAATAATAACATTTTGCTTCCTGTACACATGGAGGAGACCCAGCATGACTGAGCAACTAAGCCTGCTACAGATGCCATCTTAAATAACTTAGCTAAGACTGGAGAGACTCGGGGGAGAGAAAGTGGAAGTTTAGTTAGAAGGTTTATCAAGGAAGGCACAGTAGGAAAGATAAGCAGACTTGCATTCTGCCTTCTTCATTGAAAAGAAATAAGGGAGGGGGCCCTCAAAAAGAGACGTTTATATATATATATCTATACACACACACATACATATAAATATATATATATATATATTTTTTTTTTTTCAAAATCAACCTCCACCCAGCCTCAGAGCCCTTTCCATGAAATCAACCTTTTGTCAAAGACATATTTTGGGGTGACCGATATTTGCAGAGTTTTCTCCCCTACAAGGCAGTGAGGGAAAGCCCTAAGGAGATGCCCCTTGGCCCTGGGAGTCCTTCTGGAGTTGGTGTATGTACTTGCAGATCCCAGGAGCAGGAAAAGTGGTCAGTGGGCCCAGTGCCCTTCGTGGAACAGAGGATTAGGGCCTGGAACACCTTGGTCCTTGGAGTTCTTCTGAGGACGATAGAGTGGATGAGGCTCTGTTCTGTCTGTAACAGGAAGTGAGGCTCAAAAATAAAGAAACATCTCCATTTTCCACTGAGGAAGTTCCAATGGGAAGGG